TGAAATAGCGCCTTTAAATAATACTTCAGCAAAAGAGGTAATTAGTACAATGAAGTCTATATTTGCGAGACATGGAATACCATTGATCTTAATGTCTGATAATGGTCCCCCATTCTCATCAAAAGAGTTTCAGTCATTTTTAGTAGATTGGGACATTACTTATCAAAGTTCTAGTCCTTATTATCCAAAAAGTAATGGTTTGGTAGAGAGGACAGTTCAAACTGTAAAAAATATTTTTAATAAGTGTATAGAGTCAGGCTCTGATCCATATCAGGGAATGTTGCAATACAGAAATACAACGTTAGAATGTGGTTATTCTCCAGCTCAGTTATTAATGTCACGTAATTTAAGAATGAAATTACCTGTTAGGGAAAAAATACTCATACCAAAAACAATTGATAGGAACGAATATAGCATATTTGTTAAGGAAAAAGAAAGGAAAGTAAAAGAATATCATGATAGGTCAGCTAGAAACTTACCGAATCTCTTTGTTGGAGAAAATGTATTTTATAAAAAGGTTCCATCATCACCGTGGTTACCAGCTACTGTGATAGAAATAGGTCCTTTTCCAAGATCATATGTTGTCAGAACACCTGAAGGTGTACATTATCGTAGGAACAGACAACACATATTAAAGCCTGCCAGTACAATTAGTAGACAAAATAGTGAGGTGATAGTTAAGCATGAAAATAGTACAGCAGCTAGTTCCAATTTGTATGAGGCTCCAAATATGAACAACGATACATCAATTTCAAATCAAAGTTATGACAATTTAAATGTTAACTTAAATAGGTCACATAGACTAAATGTAAGTAATCAATTTTGTACCAGGAGTGGTCGAATTGTAAATAGACCAAAAAGGTTTTCATTTTCAGAAGAGTAATGCGGCAGTGTAGTGTTGCGGGTAGATTTAGGTTGTTAGGATAGTTTAGTTTTTTTGTTAAAAAAAAAGGGGCATGTTATGTTATGTGAACCTACCTTAATATTTGTAAACCTACCTTAACATGGGTGACAGGTGAAGGACATTGACAGCAGACAACAGTTGAACAGGATGGCTCGTTAACTATAATCATGTATTAAGTTTAGTTGGTCTTTAATAAAAGATATTAAAAAGAAACTGGTCGTCAATCTTATTAAAAGCCCACAGAGACAACGTAACATTCATAATGAAAATCGAAACATCGATCAGAGTTACAGATGTCAGAGTTAAAAGTGGAGCGGAATGTGGTTCTGACCACAAATTACTGATAGCAAACATGCGATTCCCTTGGAAAACCACAAATCAATCAAAAAGAACAGTGGTAAATGAAACTCAAACACAGGCCGAAACGAAGTACAAACTACACTTGCTAAGGGAAGAATCCGTGAAAGACTTATACAGACAAAGGTTAGACCAAAACCTTGAGGAGTTTAGTTTTGAGAACATAGACGAAACATATGAACATATAAAATCCTGCATAAAGGAAGCAGCATCGGAAGCCTTAGGTTGCGAAGAGAGAAGAACAAATAGATATCGACAACGTCTATCAGAAAGCACGGAAGAATGTATTAAGCAAAAGAAACAGTTATATCATAAATAGTTAAGCTCAAAAGAACAAGTGGACCTAGAAAGATACAGAGAGAAGAACAGAGGTAAAAAGATTAATAACAAAAGATAAAAATGATAACTGGGAATCACCATGTATGAACATCGAACAATATATAGGAGATACAAAGAACTCAGAATCCTGGAAAGTGATAAAGAGTCTGAAAGAAAACACACAGGAAAAACATATTTTACTTTCATAAGCGAAAGACAATAGAATTATTACTACCAAGAACTCCTGACAGAAAAGCGAACAAAATTCATGGAAAAAGAACAACAAACAACAAATACAAAGGAACAACTAAATTTATCATTGGAAGAAGTAAAAAAGAACATAAAACAAATAAAAAATAATAAGCCTGCAGACCCCGGAGGGATATCACCCGAGCTAATTAAATACGGCTCTGAAAAATTGTTCTGTATGATACTTACTATGTTTCAGAGAGCCTTGGACACCGAACAACAACCTGAAGAATGGTCGACAGCTCATATTATCTCTATTTTGAAGAAAGGGGATAGAAGGAAATGTGAAAATTACAGAGGCTTAAGCATTTTACCATCTATAGGAAGATTATATGGAAAAATAATAAAGGAAAAAATAGAAAAACAAATCCAAAATAAAATAGAGGACGACCAGGCAGGATTTACAGCTGGGAAATCATGTGTTGACCACATCTACACTATACAACAGCTAATAGAGAAGAAGATGACAAAGAACAGACTAGTTCATCTAGCCTTTATTGACCTAAAAAAGGCATACGACTCTGTGCCCAGACAATGACTGTGGGAAGCCATGCAACAAATAGGAGTAGAAGATAAGCTGATCCATGTAGTAAAGTCCATGTACACACATTATAATGTTACATTCAAGGTAGGTAACAAGTTTGGAAAACCATTTAAAATCACGAAAGGTCTCCTACAGGGCTGCTCGACTTCATTTACCCTCTTCATAAAATATTTCTTCAATACGACCTAAAGCCATGGAAAAGGAAATGTGAGGGAATGGGTGTCCCCATAAGGAACGACCATCTCTATACCCTCAGTTTCGCCGACGATTAGGTCATAATAGCACAAGACGAGGAAGATCTAAGTTATATGGTTCGAAAACCAGAAGAAGAATATATTATAAATGGTCTGGAAATAAACATTAACAAAACAGAATGTCTGAACACAACACAAGAACCAACAAGAAACCCGAAAGTGGATGACAGGCGTGAAATAAAGGGGACCGATAAATTTAAATACTTGGGGTTCATTATATCAAATAAAGGTACTACAGAAGAAGAAATTAAAAATCGAGTCGGTCAAACCAGAATCTCTATAAGACAACTCAATCCAATCCTATGGGACAGACACATAACAAAAAAAGAATTTATAACACGGTGATTCGCAGCATTCTAACATATGGAGCAGAAAATTGGGTCTTAAACAAAAGCAGCAGAAACAAAATAAACGCCACAGAAATGGACTACTGGAGAAGAAACTGAAGAGTTTCCAGAATGAACAAAATAACTAACGACGAAATCAAAAGACGAATGGAGATAAAGAAAGACACCTTAACTTACATTGAAGAAAAAACATTAACGTGGTACGGACATGTCAGACGAACAGACCCATACCGATGGATAGCAAAACTAACATAGTGGAGCCTCATAGGAAAACGCAAAAGAGGCAGACCAAGAAGATCTTTCAGAGATGAGGTAGATGAAGCCATGGAAAGAAGAGGATTGGAAGACGGAGAATGGGAGGACAAAGAAAAATGAAGAAAATGGTTGAGAGAAGCAGAGTTATCACCAAGTTTTAAATGAATTTTAACACATACAGTGACTCACAGCTTAAATGATGCAGTAGCTACTTAATAAAACTAGTTGTGTCAGTGGCTCAATATTTATTACAAAAATATTGCATACTGAAATTAAATTACTAGTAGTCTTTTAAAATAGTTTAAGCTATATTTTAAGTTTCAAATATACGATACCTGAATAACAATACATATTTCATTATTTTGTCACAGCTAAAATGATACAAAGTTATAAAACAAGAAAATTAATAAAGAAAACAAACTCTACGCATTGAAAAATGTTCCCTCTTTATTATCAATTATAGTCTGCAGTTGTCTAGGCATTGGTTCGACCAACTTTCTAGTGTACTCTGGGGAAATTGTGTTTCAAGTTTCAGTAATTTTTACTTTCAATTTGATATTGGGGCATTGTTTACTTTATTTTTTAATGTCAAACACAAATTTTCAATAACATTCAAATTTGGTGACTGGGTTGATGTTTTAATGACATTTCTACATTTATAAAGCAACCAAGTACGAACGAAAGAAGGAAAAGGGGAAGACCACCAAATTTCTGGAGAAGAGAAATTACAAAAACAATGCAATCTAATAGAGGCTTAGAAGAGGGAGATTAGAGAGATAGGAAAAGATGGAGGCTGAAATACGGGAAGCGGCAATCGCCGTAGGACCCCCGTTATATGATGATGATGATTTCACCGATCGTATTTCGGCGACCCCTTCACAAATAATTTTGTAACTTGCCGATTAAATACTTTGAAATATCAAATTAAACATAAAAATAACTGCAATATGAATTTAATGCAACGCCTATTTCGCAAATTTCAAATTGATAAGTTGTGTAATGTTATTTAAGCATGGTATATTTGAATTAAAACAAAAATAGCTTATGTTATTTTAGAAGACTTATAGTAATTTAATTTCAAAATATAATTGTTTTCTAATAAATATTGAGCCGCTGACACAAGCTAGTTTTATTGAGTAGCGACTTCATCATTTAAGCTGTGAGCTTAAAGATCTACAAACCAAATTATCCTTTATCTAAAATCTACATCTGCTTTATATTTTCCTGTGTTTATTCACTTACGTAATCGCTTAATATATGATTTTTAAGGTATATTCCTTTATCTTCTTCTTCTTTCTACGTAGACATGATTCTGTCTGTTTTTTAAAATGAGCCTCCAGTAAGTCGTTTTCTTGGCCTTCATACTGATCGTCTTCTACTCTTCTATTTCTTATCCAGTTCTTGATGTCCTCCACCTTGCATCTACGTCGTATGTCTATATTTCTAGCTCTGTCCCATAGTGTGTTACCATAAATTTCTCCGCATTTTCATCTTTGCTGTTTCTAACATGCTTTTTATCCTTTCTGTCAGGTCGTGTTTCTGCCGTGTACGCCATTATTGGTCTGATGACTGCTTGTAAATTCTGCCTTTCATTCTTTTCTTTTAGGCAACCTGAGGCTCTGTTTGCTCTATTCACTTGATCTTCCACTTCAGTTTCATACTTTCCGTAGTTAGATAATGTAATGGCTAGATATTTAAACTCCATTACTTGTTCTAGTATCTGACCTTCCAGCTCCAATTTACGTATTAGTAAAACAATGAAGAATAAAAACGAAGTTCCTAAAATTTATTTTAGAAAATACCAATTAGGTGAACAGTAGAGGCTAACCTTTATTTTTGTGTGTATAAAAATTAATTTCTCTCTAGGAAACAAAAATATCACATGCTGTTAACAATATGTTTCTATTATCTAACCAAAAATATGTACACAATTCTATATAGGTCTAGGATAAATATTTTTATTATTAACCATCTTTCTTAATATTTTTTTGAGCAGACATGCCAATACCCACAATCAGAGCCATAACTGTGAATCCTTGGGCAAAAATTCTAGTCCTCATCATATATTGTGACATTTTTCTCTGTCCAGTCCTAAAGCACCATAGACCATATGTCAAAGCACCAGCTGTAGCCAAACATCCTAAAACAAAGAAAATATATATATATATATATATATATATATATATATATATATATATATATATATATATATAAATATATATATATATATATATATATATATATATATATATATATATATATATATATATATATATATAAATTTATATACATATAACAATACATCTGAAATTTGGTAGAAAAAAAGGACCAATATTCAAGAATTACAATTAATGGCTACTGACTTATGTATACTAGTCAGGTTCTATATTTTCGTAAGACTAACGTCCCCAAGAATTAAAATATTTACTATCAAACTATTACAATTCAGAAAAAAACAATTAGTACTTGAAATACTTTTAAATTACTTGATATACAGCCAATGTCCAGAGTGAAGGCGATTAAAGGTACACTACTTGTGGACGTTGGTTGCAATACATACTACATATCTACATACAACAAACTAAGAGATAGCTGAGAGAAAGAGAGATAGTAAGTCCAATTTTTGTCCTAATAATGGAAGAGAAATGTATTTAAAGCACTGCATAATTAAGAAGGAACGGAAGAAATCACCATATAGTTATATTACCTTATTTTTTAAGACTACATATTCCAATAATTAAAAACAAATAGTGGTAATTACAATTATTAAGTTACAACCATCAAAATAAAGACGCTAAAAGAAAGTTGTTGCATATTGTCTTGATATGGGGAGGATTTCTTCGAATCTCTGGATATCTATACTGAGTGTTTTCAGGTATCTTTATCATGTGAGGCTCAAGAAATTAGTCAAGATTTTTCCTAATGGCTCAAATCTGAGGCTCAATATTTTTTTCTTTAATAGAGAAAGATTTAAAAAAATTATTGAGTCTCGTTTATAGGTTCTATTCTAGTTTTATTGTAAAGGGTTCTACTTGATCGATTATGAAGTGGGTTATCAGGATGAAGCATTCTAATAATTTGTCTAAACTGTTTCACCCTTTTTATTATTTTTGCAGGACCTTTGCAATTATAAAAAATTGTAGAACCATATTCCATCATGGGTTTGCAAATCATTTTATAAATATTGTGAGCAGTTTCAATTGTAATTCCCTCATTCTTGTATAATATGTTAAGGTTCTAAAGTGTTTTATCATAGTTATAATTTTTATTTTTATATGATTTGTGGTAATTAAACTTTAATTTGTTGTCTATTTCAATTCCAAAATACTTAAAAGAAAGGGGGATGGGGTTACTAATATTGTTACATATGTTTATAGTTGGAGAGTGATTTTGGATTATATTCTTCTTCTTAGAGTGCCGTGTCCCTACGGAGGTTGGCAATCATATTTGATTGGCAATCATAATATGGTAAGCATATTTTTGAAGTTGCTGCTCTAAACAAATCAATTGATCTGCATTTATACCAATCACGTAGATTCTTCAACCATGAGTTCTGCTTTCGGCCAACAAATCTTCTTCCTTGAATCTTTCCCTGTATGATGAGTCTCAAAATTTCATATTTTGGTCCCCTCATCACGTGGCCTAGGTGTTCCAGTGTTCTGGTTTGTATAGTGGTGATTAGTTTTGTCTCTTTACCACCCTCTCCAGTACTTCTTTATTTGTAATACTATCAGTCCATGATATTTTTAATACTCTACAGTCTACAGTATAACCATAGTTTGAAAGCCTCGATTCTTTTTAAATTGCATTAAAAAAATGCAATGTGATTCTATGGTTAAACATTATTAGTTGTGTTTTAGAGGGATTTATTATTAATCTAACATTTATTGGCCCAAGGTATTGTGTCTAATAAGTTAATTGTATGTATTCAATTTTTACAATGACGACAGAAATGAATTGCAAAATAGGGTAGGTAAGGTTGGCGCAAATATAATTATGTAAGTAGCAATGAGGAAGAAGAAGACCGAAGCCATCATTCTAAAGGGTAAACGGAAAAGACAAGTGATGGAACTTCAATGTGCAAGGGGACAGCTAACATCAAAGAAATGAGTCAAATATCTGGGAGTGACACTACACCAATATGGCGGATGGGTAGAACATATACATCTATTGGGCGGATGGGTAGAACATAACCTGATTCTCAATCATGAATATAATACAAGAAGCTTTAATTTTAATTTGCCACTTCACAGATTGTCTATAACAGAGAGAAGTCCTTTCTATGTGTGTGTTAAATTTTATAATAGTCTACCTTCTGATATTCAACAGGAAACACACTATAGAGCTTTTAAAAGAAAGGTCTTTCAACACCTAGTTGACATAGAGTCCTATACTGTGGAGGAGTGCCTGGCCTATCCTTCTCCTTGATCAGCATATTTAATTTGTAATGTTAATATATTTTAAATGTGTGATGTCAATATATATTTTTTTTAATCTGTAATTAATAATGTGACGTTATTTGTTCAATTATGTTTAAAAATTTATGCAAATAAAATTTACTCTACTCTACTCAAATCAGAAGGGAGGAAAACCTTACACGGTGTTGTGCAGTCAATCATCCTTTACCCGGTACCAGTCTGGAGTGATTTGATAGAGATACCAACCTACAAAGGGCTCATGATACGAGTAGACAGAACAAGTCTGTTGCGAGTAGCATGTGCCTACAAGACTGTATCTGCGGCGGCCTTGTGGATTATCACAGGTTGTGTTCCTCTGCATGTGTTAGCAGTAGAAAGGAGACATCTTTATGAGAAAAGAGAATATTTGACAGCAGCCATAAAAAAGAAGAAAGAGAAATATCAATAGAAAGATGGCAATAAAAGTGGAACAACATGATATATGTTGCCCAGTAGCACAGTTGACCAAGATGCTGATCCTGAGCCTAAGGAACTGGGTGGAATGTGGTCACAGACGACTGGATTACTTCCTGACACAATTGCTCACAGGACATGGGTGCTTTAGGGTATATCTTCATAGATTCAGAAAGATAGGTACAGATAAATGCCTATACTGTGAATACTCTGACACTGTTAGTCACACAATGCTGAAGTATAATAGATGGACAGTGGAGAGAAACACAATGTATAGAGACATAGGAATGAATCCTGTTTTCATGTGAAAATATGAGTATGTGAAAATAAACAACTTCGAATTTTTTTTAGGACCTGTTGCTTTGCCATTTTTTGATGATTGTATGGCTTGTATTACCTCAGAGCATATTATTAGGGGTCTATCGCAGTTAGTAATATGCAGAGGTGAACTAATCCTATTGTCTTCATATAGGTTCGTAATGTAATTTTCCCATTTTTTAAGTTTGTCCTCTACTTCAAATATTACTTTACCACGTTCATCATGTAGCAGTGAAGTTTGTCTCTTATTGAACATACCAGTCACATATTTCCCTTTTTTAAATACATGTTATTGTATCTATTTTGGAGTTCTTCAATTTCATGACACTGTTTGGGTAGATATTAACTCTTTGCTTCTTGTAACTAGACAGACATCTATCCTATATCCAACCTGTTTCCAACAAATAATAGTTTCAATATTTGGATAACAGAAATTTACAACAAAATCCAAAACTATAAGAATGCAACACAAATAGCCTAAGTGTGATTTCTTTTTTGTTTGATTGTTTATTTACCTACAATATTAATATGGTTTTGAAACTAATTTCTTGTGACATGAACTTTATAATTAATTTTAGTTTATTTTTATATAAAATATTTAGTTCAAAAATTGATCAATTCAAAATTTATCATGACAATATAAATACATACATTCATTGTGCAAGTGAGGACATTTACATCTTACACTAATATCATGGTTACATACCTACCTTAAAGAGACTTTGACAACTAAGACATTAGACATACTTTGAATGTAAAAAGTAATATTAAATAATTTTGGCACTAGTAATGCATAGATATTTTACTTTTTACTTTTGTACAAATATCATATAATAAAATATATACACATATAAGTGTACAAATTTTAAGATAGTAAAGAATTATAAATGAAAAGTTTGGAACATTCTGCTACATACAAAATACTTGAAAAGAAATGACAGTCCATCTAAGATGAAGCCGAATATATAGCGGATACTGTTGAAATATTGGCATTAAAATATTATATAGTTATTACGTTTTATGTAAAATAAAGTTACCAATTGGCACAAAAGGGTTCTCCTTAAATTTTCTCATAAATTTTTGTCCTTGTGTTTCGTTAGGAAGCACTGCATCCATGTCCTTCTTTAATGCTATCCAATCAAAATTGTCTATTTCTTCCTGAGTCATATCCTTAGATGCCATTTTTATAGAATACTTTTATATTTCCAGTATTTTTAAAAATCTAAAATTTTAAACTAACCTCTAGACCTCTACTGTCATTTTTTTAAGTTTAATGTCAAAGCAGTTCTTCTTCTTCGTTTTTGTTTCTGTGGCCCCACACCATGGAGATACGCCAGCTAATTTTTTGGTGACAAAAAAGAAAAGTAGAGTAGAAAAGAAAGTAATTTTATCAAAATGCTGACTTTTTCAGTAAGTTTATTTAAAATGGAATATTTAGTAATTGGTGATTTATAATTTATGTAAATGAATCTTCTTCTTCTTCTTCTTCAGCCTGTTTGCATCCACTCCTGGACAAAGGCCTCCCCATGAGTTCTCCACTCTTCCCTGTTTTGTGCTATTTGGTGCCAGTTTCTCCCCATTTTTGCTTTGATGTCGTCTAGCCATCGTTTTTGTGGTCTTCCTCTACTCCGACTGTGTTCGCGTGGTCTCCAATGTACAATGTTTTTCGTCCATCTGTCGTTGTTTTGCCGTGCCACGTGCCCTACCCAGTTCCATTTCATTTGTGCAATTCTTCCAATTACATCTTCCACCTTCGTCCTGCTTCGTATGTCCTCGTTTCGTATATGTTCTCTCAGTGATACTCCCAACATAGCTCGTTCGATGGCCCTCTGTGTTGTTCTTAATCTGTTGGCTGACAACTCTGTAAGTGTCATGGTCTCCATTCCATAAGTCATAACCGGTAGAATACAACTGTTGAATACCCTTTTCTTTAGATTTATTGGTATCTTTTTGTTCTTCAACACATCACTGAGTCTGCCTACTGCTGCCCAAGTCATTCGGATTCTTCTAGTTATCTCTGCTGTTTGATTCTGTTTGCCTAGTTTGATGGTGTGACCTAGGTATATATACTCTTCGACACTTTCGATCTCTTCGACTCGAAATGAATTTTATATGCTCCATGGTCTATTCCCCTTTCTTCTTGTATTTTTCTACAATGCAAACAAAATTAAGCCTGGTAAGAGCATTCATTTTTCCTTAGCCAGATATGCATCCGAAACAAACGTGGTCCCCGAAGAAAGTAGATAGAAATACCATTTGAGGTACAGACATACAGACAACATAGAGGCTATAAGAAGAGGATAGATTGAACTGAGAAGAAAAGGCACTAGAGACAAAAAGAAGAACCAGTTAATAAAGGAAGAGGCAGAGCGTTTAAAATTTTTAAATAATGAACTTTCAAGGGAAATATACAATGAAAAGAAACGGTACTAAAATGAAATGTGGGATAACCTGGAATGACATCTGGGGTGATGCGAATAAGCTGACAGTTTAGCTATTCCCACAGAGAGAGATAAAGGAATTCGCACCTTTGCAAGTAGAAACGCCTACAGCAAACTTCTCTACAAAGGAGCTGATGAAGGACCCGGCAGAGTTCTACCAGAAATTGTAAAGACAATGATGGAGGCACCATAGGTGAAGGAAATAATGAACGACGTTCTAAGAAAGCAAAAATTCCCAAAAAATGGAAAATGACAGATCTCTAACTTATTCAAAACCTGGGTAAGAACTTAAGGAATTGGGAGCTTTTAGACCGATCTTTCTATTAAACGCAATAAAATAAAACGGGGGTGGCAGTCCAGTGGGACAATCATTACATATGTAATACTATAGGTAAGAGAGAGCAGAAAGAGAAAAAGAATTAGTTATATAGGTATATGGTGCATCGTTTGCTGTATATAAACATTTTTGTTGTATCAATATTTTAATGAAAATATATATTTTTATTTTCATATATGTATAAAAGGGGTTGAATGTAAAAAAAATTTTTTACACATACTCTGCAGTAAAATTCATTGTTTAGTTTGTTATTAATATAAAAATTACAATACAATAAATACACTGCAATATAATTTAATATATTAATACAATATAAATTAAAATGTAATATTCATAAGTATTTAAAACTGCCAATATACATAACTTACTTTACGAAGATAAAAATAAAAAATCAACAACTCGGATTATGTTGTAAATTTTCATTAAATTTTAAAATTTAGCGTTTTTACGTATATTACATATATTTAATAAGATTAACGTGAGGTTTTTAAATATTTCAAAAACAAAAAAGAAAATTCATATTGGGATTCGAACTCACACCAGCGTATGAATAAAACACGTAAAAGATTTGCCACTTAGACATCACACTAACGGATTTCAAAATTGACAGTTCTTGGTCAAACAGTGATTATTTTAAAATACAAAAGCCTAAAATAATTATAAACATTTAATAAATAATACAAAACATATCACATAAATAATAATATTAATACATATTATATTATATATATAATATTATATAAATATACAATATTATATATAATATATATATATATATATATATATATATATATATATAATATATATATATATATATATATATATATATAATATTAAATATATATACAAATGAACATTTTTATTCTCGAGAGAGGAAGAGAGAGAAAATATATCTTCTGTCTCTCTCTTACTCATTATCTTACATATGTAATGGTTTCATAGATTCACTCCAATGCAAATTTCCAACGCCGACCGTGCGTCTAGAAGTATAACTTCAAAAATCTTAGAAATACTTATAAAGACGAGACTAAACTAGAAAAGAAGTCATAGATAAAGGGGGCTGGTCTGAACGCCAGTATACGTCAGTCGAATCAAGGAATTAATTGCCACATGTAGGAGCAAGTGGTTAATGGCCTTCTTTCTGAAGATAAAAAATGCTTTTAACTCCGTGAACTGGAGAGTAATGTAGTGAAGGGATTCTTCTTAAGTAGACATATTAACGTAGCAAGGGGAAATGTTATGCAAACATCGGTAGGAGTGCCACAGGGCTTGGTCCTAGGACCGTTTATCTGGAACATCCTTTATAATAATAAGATAGCTTTACATCTAGGCTATGCAAGTCTCATGATATGCAAGTTCGTCTTGCTTGGCATATCTCTTACCTAGCCTGATCTGTTTACATCAGATCAATTTTGAAATACCACTTTCACTGTTGCCAACAGAAGAAGTATATCAAAACATATCAAAACTTTAGATATTTCACTTGAAAATTTCAGTCCAGCAATAAATAATATAACTCACAAATTATTACATCCAATAAATAACATTTGGGTACACTTACACAATAAGATTAAGTTTTAACCTAAACTATATACATATTGGCAACATAATATCTGTCTTACATGGCTCTTCCATAGAATGAAAATTACATAATGTAAAGTCGACTGTATACTAAAAGAGGAAGATTTAGGAAAAGGAACACAGGCTATAGCTTACGCGGATGGCCTGGTCGTTCTAGTAGGGCACCATAAAAACAGGTTTATAATACACTCAACCAATGTTGCATTGGAAAGGATAAAAACGTGGTTGAAAGAACTAGAGTTAGCACTTGCTATGCAAAACACGGTAGCTTTGATACTAAAAGGACCTAGAGATAGAAATCACATCTTCTTCACCCTCGAAAGAATAATGCCGGCCAAAAATCTTAAATACCTAGGAGTAATGCTGGACAGTAAACAGATATTTGGCGAACATGTCAAAGAATATACTGCCACCAAGGCCGAACAGAGACCAACAGCATTGGCAATAATTATGTCACTCCCCGGTGCTAATGCAGCACCGGTGTGGCATTTGGTAACTAACAAACAAAAGTACAAACAAATTTTAGAGAAGGCCAAATGAAAAGTATTGTATGCAATACTTTGACCTACAAGTTATGGCTGGGGTACCACCGATACACCTGCAGGTAAAAGAGAGATCCAAAACATACGGCAAGAGTAAATCAAGAGAAGGCGGAAAAAGAATAGAAACCATTACAAATGACAGGACGAAAAGGTAAACTATTGGAAGCGTGTATCGACAACGACTCTGATCCCGGTTGTGGAGGAATGGGTGGAGTGCAAATCTAAAAGCACGAACTACTTCTTCACGCAATTCCTTACGGAACACACGTTATTTAGAGTATACCATGAGAGAATAGGCAAGGTAATAGATGGTATCTGTGTGGACTGCGGAATACAGGTTAAGCACAACACTGTGTGTTCTAATGCAGTAAGTTCAATAACGAAAGAGCTGAGCTATATACAAGACTGGGTATCTTAGCCCCACAATGGGAGCACACAATTTTATGACCATAGTAAGAAAGGGAAAATCAGTTTAAAGAAGTGCTGGAGGCTGTAAGAAAAATCGTTAAAAGAAAAGATATTTTATAGAGAGAGAGAGAGAGAGAGAGAGAGAGAGAGGGGTGGCTGTGTGCGTGAGAGAACGATCTGAAAAGACGTGCCACGTCTTTCCAACGCTTAGGCACCTACCTAATACCTACCTTAGTTGGTAGGCATTTTACCATGAATGTATCTGAGGTCAAGACCCCAAAAGGGGAGCTGCGTTCGGATGTACTGCATCTATCCTGACTCCAACTCACGCCAGGTATATTTACCTAGTACAGTCTTTAGAACATTTCCACTCTCACAAAAAAGGCTTTAAGGTGTGGGTATACCGCCTCATGATAAGAATATGTTGGGTTGAACATCGAACAAATGTATAAATAATAGAAAAACTCGAAGTATAAATTTATAAAAGACAGATTACTTAAACAAATACAACAGAGGTATTTGCAAAATGCCAGAAGAAAAGGTACGATGAAAAAACTGATAATTAAACAATCGAGAGGAATATAATTATATAATATATAATTGTATGTGCAATTTCAGATGTAAATTATGCTACTAAAATGTAATTCCAATTAATTAGTTAAATTTCAATATTCCCACCCCTATTTGAGAAATCTTTGGTATCGGTTTTATTATTGTTGTTTTTTAATATGATTTACCTCTAATATACATCTCTTATAATTTGGTTCTTTTTCTGAAATCGACATATTTTCAAAATCTTAATAGGTAATGGATATTTTCCAAAGAATGTTCGGCTAAGGCTATAATGTTGATTTATTGTTTCTTACTGTGGTTTTGTGTGCAATAATTCGTCCATGTAAATAGTGATACGTCTGTCCAATATATGTTTACATAGTTAAAGTCTTTACAATTTACTATAATTTTTAATGCAGCTTTAAAGGAAATGAAGAACCATCGATCGCCTGGTAATGATGGACTTGTTATCGAGTCAATAAAAGCAGGAGGAGAAATTTTATTAAAATCAGTAAGCGAACTGTTTAATAAATGCTTACATGAGCGTACGATTCCAAAAGACTAGAACAATGCAGTAATAGTCTTGTTACACAAAAAAGGCGATATTACTAAATTAGAAAATTATAGACCCATCAGCCTCTTGACACATATGTACAAACTCTTTATGAAAATCTTAACAAAGAGGCTAACACCTAAACTTGATTTTTATCAGCCCAAAGAACAGGCAGGCTTCAGGGCAGGATATGGCACAAACGACCATTTGCATACCATAAAGATCTTAATAGAAAAGTGCATCGAGTACAACATACCACTGGTTCTTGCATTTGTCGATTACGAGAAGGCTTTTGATTCTGTAGAGTTTGAAACAATACTGGAAGCCCTAAATCAAAGCCGAATAGATTACAGGTACACGACACTAATCAAAAACATCTACGAGAACGCTACATCAAGTATACGACTACACGAAGACACAGAAAAAATCAGCTTAGGTCGAGGAGTTAGACAAGGAGACAATATTTCACCAAAATTGTTCACGGCAGCTCTAGAGTCAATATTTAAAAGCACTCAATGGCAAGATATGGGCATCAATATAGAGGGAGAAAGATTAAACCACCTAAGATTTGCAGATGATGTTGTATTAATCGCAGATAATTTACAAGATACAGTTTCTATGATGCATTCGCTTAAAAGTCTGTCTGAAAGAGCAGGATTAAAGATAAACTTTGAGAAAACTAAACTTATAACAAATCTCGTAATGAGTGGAAATATAACTATTGACAATAATAACATACAACAAACAGACACTTACAAATATATGGGACACGAAATCAAAATAAGCAGAGACAATCAAACACATGAAATTCAGAGGCGAATAGGCCTAACTTGGGCAGCATTTGGCAAATTAAGCCATATTCTAAAAAGTTCAATTCCCATGTGTCTCAAGCGAAAGGTTTATGACCAATGTGTTTTACTTGTACAAACTTATGGAGCGGAGACTTTAACATTCACGCAAAAATCTGCGAATAAACTCAGAGTTACGCAACGAGCCATGGAACGTGCAATGCTGAACGTGAGCCTTCGAGACCACATAACAAACCAACAAATCAGGCAAAGATCAGGAGTTCAAGACGTCATCGAAAGAACCACGTCGCTTAAGTGGAACTTGGCAGGGCACTTAGCCAGAGCACAAGATGGACGGTGGACAAGACGTATTATGGAATGGAGGCCCAGAAACTATAAAAGAAGCCGAGGACGACCACCGACTAGATGGACCGATGGTATAAAACGTGTAGCGGGAAACTGGCTACAAGCGGCCCAGTGTAGAGAACACTGGAAAGAACTGAGGGAGGCCTATGTCCAGCAGTGGACGCGATTGGCTGATTGATGATGATAATTTTTAATAAAGTCTCTTCACTGTCTTTACTAATAATAGATGGATTTTGGTGATAGCCGATGTCCATTTTTGTTAACTACTATTTATAGGCAATATTAATTATAACATTCAACGTTCCATACATCAAAAAATTATGACTAAGTGGTGACAGGAGGTCATAAACTTTGATTATCTCATCTCAGTTTGCGGCGTGAAAAATGAAATAAATGCGTCGTGCTGAGTAAGGAATTTTTAAGCAAACATTTTAAGTATTTATGTTTGTGTTCATTGACGCCTTGACTCGACAATTCTTATGTATATGAGAATAAGAATAAGAAAAAGAATTCTTTTACTGGTGTGATGGGACTGATGGGAGTATTTGTTATTATTGCTTGATGTAGTGTTATATAAGTTTTACTTATTGATTTTTTTAGGATTGTTGGCAGAAGAATTTTTAATTGCAAAGCTTGTTTTTCTAATAAGAGGATTCTAAAATTTCGGTGGGTAATTATTCTGTTCTAAAATATTTTTGGCTTTTCTCAGATTTTAAGAATAGGTGTGTTGGTGCCAAAATTTAAATATCTTCCAGCAAACATCTTTTGTGAACCACTTTAAAGTTATTTGTCTGTTGTTTTTATTGTTGTATGCCAAACATAAGTCAAGAAACGTAGGTAAGTCTGTTTTCACTTTATTAGTAAATTTTATTTTGTTATGAAAGTAATTAAATGTTTGAAGTGTGTACGTCACTCAAGTTTATTATTTGGACGTAAGCAGTCGACGACATATTTTACGGATTTAGATAGAACTATTGAGTTTTCCAATACCACAGAATAAAATTTATTAACAATCAGAATGGCCACTCTCAGATACCACCTTTAAAGTGTGTCAGTACGCGATTTCCATAAATTTATATATAATCTGCTTATATTTTTTATCAAAAATTTGGCAAATTTAATTTAATTTAATTAAGTTGTTTCTTGCGTAGAATATCTAAGTTTCTCGTAATCTTTCATTTAAAAGAAATATTCTCCAGCTTAAACTTTGTACCATTTTAGTAGAAGATTCCACTGCAGTTCAATCAAACTCACATTTTTACATACATTTAAAATTAGGACAATACATTGATAATAGGTTGCCAGTCAAAAAGTGGCCGCAAATATTTTTAATTCAATTAATAGTAATTTTAACTCGATGGATGCATGCTTTAAAAAGTCGGTTGAGTTTACCGAAATTACAAGCTGAATATAGCTACAAAAAGGGTAATTGCCAAAAAAAATTTCTAATAATTAACTGCAATTAATCTCCAAAGAAACAAATACTTACTCATTCTTGCTTTGTACAAATAAAAAATTGCAGAATTTATAACATAATATAAACAAAATCTACTTTTCTAAAGCTTTATCTGTTTATATTTGAAGCATACAGCATCTACATTATAAAAACATGCCAACACTGCCACAGAATAATAAACAATTGTTTATAATTCTGTGACACTGCTATTGGCTCTACCAAAATTTGTTGTTCCATGTCTGACATTTGCGGCTATAATCAGCTTGTACTTTCGGTAAACTCCATGGGTAATCTCCACGGTTCGTAGACTTAGGAACCGTGGGTAATCTCGGGTAAACTCAACCAAAAAGTCACCACAGAATAAATTGTTTATTATTCTGTGGTCATACAACTGACAATCCAAACCAGTAGCGTTGCCCGCTAAATGTTTTTTATTTTATCTTTGATACTTCGCGTTTTTAACAGCTGGCAACCCTTATTTTCTAACATTTTTCTCAGGCAAACTTATATCATCATATTAAGAAAAAATTAGCTTTAATTTTATATAAAAACTTGCATATTCGTCATAAGCAGCGTATTTTATTTAAAAATAAATTAAAGAAATAAAATTTTTATCAAAAATGAATTACTATTAATTGAATTAGGAATATTTTCGGCCACTTTTTGACTGGCAACCTATTGTCAATGTGTTATCCCAATTTTAAATGTATGAAAAAATGTGAGTTTGATTAACTACAATATGAACATAGTGATCCTGTACTGGGATCAGAACTCGATGGATCAGATAGTGGGATATTTGAAAATATTTCAGTAACCAATGACGTATAATATATAGACTACGCAGTCCCCTATTCTCCCTATAGAATAGAGTGTCCGAAAGATCTTGGCTCAAGGTTGAAGGTATGTTTATTAGAACAGCGACGTGCTTATTTATATATTAATGACAATAATTATTTTTTTAATTAAAATTAAATATTTATGATTTCTTTTTGTTCCCGTCTATAAGAGAAATAATTATTTTGATAAAATAGTATTGCATTTTACTAAAATAGTAAGTAAATAACTCTCAACAATTTAAAATAAAGTTTGCTTGTCACACAAAATGGAGAAAATGTTTTCATACGTCCATGATGTTTTCAAACACATGATCAACTTCGTGATGCTTCGTAAGAAATCATGAACTTCGTGCATCTTCGTATCAAAACAATAAACAATAACAAAGGTATTCATGTTTTGGACACTTTTTAAAGCGTTCACCGAGTCTATATATTATACGTCATTGTCAGTAACATCCATAAAGTCAAATGTCATTTGTCATATGTCATTAGCATTCATACTTTATGTACGTCTTAAAAATTGTGTTAGTAGAGGGGTTGATCTTTTTTTGCAAAAACCAAAGTGTAATAAGTTTTAGTTTTATATTAAATGAATTAAATGAAGTATTTATAAAATCAAGGAGTTTCGTTACGAAACCAAGTAAAGAAAGGTATGTATTACATTCAATATTATTCACCCACTTTAAAATCAATAACCCAATATGACATTTTTAACGAGAGAGGAAAACAAATACTTGTATATTATTCTATACACTTTTTAGGTCTGTTAAAATAAATTAAATCATATCATGTGAGATAGCCCGGTCTAACGAGCAGTTGCTTTTTGAAGCATGACTCTGCTTCTTAATTTTAGAATTACCTAACTGGGTTCAATAAGGAAATACTACAAAATTTGCCACAGGCTTTCTTTTTTGGTATTTTTTAAAAAGTATTGCACAATTTACATACAAATGCCTAGACTTTGTTTTAAATTCAGCTTGAATTATTTCTAACCCTAGTTAATTGGAGGAATAGCTTAAAGTTTAAAAACGAAATTCTTGTGGAGAGTAATGTGCAGACATGCATTGTAAGTGTATTAAGCATAATCCTAAATGGTATATTGACTACAGTCTATATTGTAATTATGAAGTCTTCGGCAACACACAATACTTCTAAATCTTGCATAACTTTTGCCACTTTATATTACACATATTAACAGTTTGTGCCTGTGTCATGTTCTCTAGATGGTTCTTTGGAATGATACTTCTAGTTGAATGGTTAATAGGTATTGTCTGAGTACTTTCATATACATTTTTTATGCATCTATAAGTGTCTATTTCGTTTATTAACTACTATACTTTCTAATATGCTTTACCTGCTTTATGTCAGTCAAATAATACTGAAATATATGTGAACTTGGATAATCCAACCCATAATAGTTTATGGTTTCAAAAAGTATATCATGTGAATCACAGTGAATGGCATTGTGAACAAGTCACATAAGATGAAGACAACAATTTGCCCACTCTTAAAGCTATCAGTTATGAAGCCACATACAGCTAATATAGCAAACCAAACTTATTTGAGTAACAGGTTGTTTATTTAAAATTATTTATACAATAGTTATTTTAGGATGTCTTGGAAATTTTTTAAGAAAGTTGGTATTATTGAAACAGGGTTAAGTTGGATAAATCAGTTATATCACCTTTATTTTGAAAAATTTGGACTTTTACTTATTTTGAACACTTCAAGATACCATGTTTAAGCACTTGTTAAAGATTGTTGAGAGTGGATAGGACAGTCTGTCACCAAGCACTTCATTTTACTGAAATTTTTACATTACAAAAAGTTGAACTTGAATAATTTTTATTTCTTTGCAAATAACATAGATGAGGATAGATGTTATATCCACTGGTATCTAAAGTAACAGTTAACTTTGAAAAAACTAGTTTTTTGCTCAGTTTATTTCTAGTTGGTATCTGTTTTGGAGTGCAGTTTGCTCTGTCTTTAATACATGCAGTTAGACCCTGGGTCAGAAGAGTACCCAGGTCCAGAGTACCCAAAAAATCTGTCCTAAGCCCTTCCACCTCTCGATCATCTAGATATTTTAGAACCTTTCCCAAAAATTTGGAGCAGTTTTTAGTTACATTTTCTTTCTCTAGTTTCATTATCTAAAAGTAACATTTTTTGTACTTTTTTAATGCAAGTCATTGAATGTATAAATTAACACAATGATTACTTTTATTTTTGGTTTTTGCTTTTGTATATTTCAGTTCCTATTCCCTCATTATGATCTGACATACTTAAATTAAAAACATTTACAGTAACATCATATATATATATATATATATATATATATATATATTCTCAATTTATTATAATAGAATATAGTTAGTAAAGACCTTATTGTTACAGTTGTTTTAAAGATCATGTTCTGTTTCAAATTCATTGTTAAATTGTAAAATAAATCAAATCATTTGGAAGTTTTTACAAAGAATGAAGAGAAAATTGTAATATGGAATGGATGATTCCATTGATATCATCCTACCTTCTGTATTATAGTAAATTATGAAACATGACTAATTTCTTATTTGTAAATCCAATTATGTTGGTTAGGACCCTTAATGAAATGTATACTGAATGATCACCTTTATAATGTATTTTTAAGATTTCTATATTTAATATTGTAACAGTACAATCTAATATTAATTCATTGCAGTTGGATGGATCAAGTCCAAAAAAGTATAAACAATTCACTGTTAGACCTATTTGGGACAGAAACTGCCACCAGAGTCACCTCTCTACTAGTTCCCACTACATTTTATAGTTCCCACTTATTTGTAGGATCAGTAGAGTTGCTTATTTCTGAGTCCTCTTCTAGGCCATGTGCATATGTGTATGTGTATTTTGTGTTTGGGTGTGTATACTCAAGTGTGTTTATTTGTGAGTGTCATTTTCAATCAATAAATATACAGTTAATTACCTACCTTTAGAAAATATGTCATGTTCTTAGTTGATCAGCAGGTGTTTATTTGGTTATCCTTATTCACACCTCCTGTCTGTGTTGTGTTGTGTTCTGCTTGGCTCAGACTCACAGTCTCATATGGGCACAGCTCTCACAATTTCTTTCTTTTGGATATTAATATGATAAAAAAGAAAATTATGAAATGAACCCAAGGCAAGGAAACAATTTTTTGTAGAGTTATTATTATTTAAGTATGTACATGGTTCCACATACCTACCACTTTGTTAGATCTAATTTTGTTTGTAATAAATGTTTTAGGAAGGCCTTTATGGTTACTTCTTAAAGTTCCACAGTAAAAAGTTTTTCTTTCTAATGATCTTCGACTAATGGTAAGCTAGAGTAAAAATTATCATAACAACGTTATCTGAATGTCCCTTATATGAAATATGGGATGTGCTTGGTGGAGAAAGGTGATGGATAGGGACGACCGGAGAAAAATTCTTGAAGAGGCTAGGAGCCACGAAAGTTGTAAAGCCAGAATGATGTTTAAAATATCTAATAAAGGTCGAATTTGATACAGTTCATCTGTGATATTCTGCAAACTACTGTTATCATTAAAATACAAATATTTTAAGATCAATAAAAATCTGTCCCTTGTCATAATGCTACTTATTATGGTAAAGATTATTTTTAGACCAGTATTCCTAAAACGCTTTTCATTTCTTGTTGATTTACAGGCATCCAACATCTTTGTCTAGACTTGGGGTTTAGTGGATTGATAGTTAATTGTTGCGAGGCAAATAGGTTGGTTTCTTTAACCAAGAGATCAATGATAGTGTCATTTATAAACATTGAATAGGCTTTGATAGAACTAATGGAGTAGTTCTGAAAGTTAATCACTGAATGTTCATTTAAAACAATATTTATATGAATATCCTCACTGTCAAAATGAACCAGTTGAAGACTCAGAAGGAGCATAATTAGGATCACATTCTGAATTGGTTTAGCTTGTGTATTACTCGCAAGATGGAAATACATGTATTTATTATTACACATGTTTTACACAAAGTAGTTTCCACTTCCATTTGTCATTCCAGGATGCCAGTCGTTTTTAGCTGGTGGTGCGGAGGTGTTAAAGTGTTAATAAAACTAAGTGATTTCTTTGTTTATTTTGTGAGCCAAGATATTTATAAAATAATACTCATAACAATATATATGTTAATATTTATTAAAATATGTGGAGTACATCAATAATAAATTTGGTTTTTGGTTTAATTAAAGTGGGAACAGAACATTTCATTTCAAAATAAGATAATAAAATAAGAAGTATACCTCTTTCATTTTGTCCAATTGGTAAGATATGGTAATTTCCATTAAAAAATGTAATTATATTTTGTATTATTGATGATTTGGTCTTGGTCTATATCCATGGTTTTTATTAGCCCATTCTTCAGGAGACATATCGGAAAATTGATTTATACCCATAGTATATGTCGTTTCACCTTTTTCATACTTTTTATTGTGCTCTTCTATTTTTCGTAAATTTTCTTGGAATATTTTAAACCTATTTTTGTCCTCCTCTGGAGATTCGTAAGATTTCTGGAACTTTTGCTAAAAACACATGAATTATTAAAAAAAAAAGTTAGAAAGTGAAGAACGTAAAATATAGTTTAGCAATGCACCATGGTAAGAGTATCATGATATGATGACATAGTAGACAATGCCTCTTCTCGTCTATATGGTGGTTAAATGATTTGGTGTTTTGTAACCTTGTTTCCGAGACCTGTTTCAGTACTCATTTTATCATTGTGATGATATTGTATGTAAATGTTACTGTATACGATAATACAGTAACCTTTTAAATTTTTTGTGGCTTTCCATCGAGTCATCAGTGTGTGGTCCCAATCGTCCAACTACATACCACAGAACCACTCCAATGATCAGCAAGCTGAGCGATAATTTATTCGATACAAAAATTTTATGGAAAATTCTCCTACTACTGATCTCTAGGTAGATTAACATTTTTCCATAGATATCTATGGTTTCGCTACTTGTAGACTGATAATGTGCTTTCTATTGACAATTTTAAGTTCCTAAGCATCTAAGTGTCTTCTTACAGTAGTATAAGTGGTTCGAATACTAAAACTACTGCTACTAGACTGTTTCTACTGCGATGCAGCCGTGAACAGGTGATATATCAGATACATTAGTCATCAGTCAGCTTATGCATTCCAAACCAAAGCATATTTGAATTCTTTCCCGTTGGAAATTTCCGTCATTCACAAAATAAATACATTCTAACAATAAATATTTTTCACTACTAAACTCAAAACTTAAGTATACACTTAAACAGTGTGAAAAATATAAATATAATGAGAAATCACAAAATTTATACTATAAGCAGTTTTCTGTAGGTGTGACTAACTTTATATGAATGTTATATTATATTCAGTGATAAGACTGCCTATTAGTGTGTGATAATCAGTTTAAGTGGGCAGAACAGTATAATCAGTACACAAGAATTTATTATATGAGTCAGTTTTTTACTTCGAAGGATCATAATATCATAATGTTGTCGCTATATTTATAATTTTTTTATACTGTGAATTCGCTTGTTTGAAAATTGAGAGTGAAAAATTTACAATGTGTTATCCATTTTTAAAAATCGTTAGCGATAAAAAATACGAAATAGAAACTACTTACTTTAAACTCGGCAAACTGTTCTTGATCATTCAAAGCAATTGCATTCGCCATTACGTAAACTGCAAAGAAAACAAGAAAATATTTATAAAACATTTTAAATTAAGCTTAGAAACACGATTAAAGGAGATAACTAAATAGATCCTTGAAGTGTATATTTTATACTGCAACGATATTACTGAATCATTAAAATCTCTGGCAAGATCGTTTTGTCAATATTTTTTATCGATTTTATCAGATTTTATCGAAATAACCTTCGGAATGTACGTGGCGCATATTTTTCAGTTTATTATTCTTGAAGAGACATCATGATTGCTGAATAAGAAAAGCTATCATCTATTTTTATCGCGTATAATAAAGTGATATACCTATATACGTAAAGTATCACATATCATTTAAAATTCAAATGGTTTATATTAATAAATGAAAGATAATTACCGAGAGTGAAAAAATTAACATTTACTATTGAATATTTCACTAGACTATTTTTAACCGATAAAACGTCATAGCAACGCCACGTTTCCTATTGACAAAACTATTTAATGTCCGTGATTTCTCTGCGATAAGATTATTACAGATCCGTCACGAAGGTGTCTGGTAATTCTATTGTTGTCAGTTTGACAAACGTCATTGAGGCGTAATCAATTTTGGACCGATATAATAAATCCAGACGAAAAATCAAAATTTGGATGCCAGTCAGGTGAAGAAATAAAAAAAAATGGTTTCGGAAAATGTCACATTGAACACGCAGAGATCCAGATGCTCTATTTGGACCAAATTTTCGGAGTTCCTACGGGTGAGGAATTTTACACTTGAAAGATGTACTGCCATAACGGAACTAGCCAAAATTCTCGAGAATTATCCCTTTAACATGAAAAAAGACAGTGGCGAAGACTATAAAGAGTCGTCTGTAAAGTCTAATGTGGAATACTACAGCAAAAATGGCACAAGAAAAATATTTTACTGAGTACGGTATAAAAATCGACCCTTTCACAGATATATCTTTCAAATGTGCTAGATTGGCAAGAGATACCACGCGGAGGCAGCTTCAAAGTGTTCAATAAAAAAGAAAACTCAGTTCAAAAGCATTATCCACCGAAGAACTATTAAAAGTCAATAGGTGCTAGCCAAAGCTACTACGAGGAAACCCCCGATGGAGCATAAAAAAGTTTTTTCATCTTTGCTCATTTGAACTTGCTGGAGAGACAATGACGCCGTAAACTGCAAGATTCACTTTTTTCAGAAGGAATTTGATGTGATGGGAGAATTTACGGGTCGAATTTAATACAACAGCATTTTTTCCAAAACAAATCAAGGCAATTCGAAAAGTTTGGCAAGCAGCAAATGGCTGGTAAGAAATTCATCAAACGAAAATTTATGCCCAGTTAGATTATTTTTGAACTTAAAGGAAAAAAGGGGATCAAAGATTTTATCAGATATACTCTTTCTTGCCATTCATTCCAACTAGAAGGATGGCGTTTGGTTCAAAAACTAACACTTGGAATCAACACCTTATCTAGGTGGACAAACATGTTTTGTAATAGACACAAAAAAACATAAAATAACAAACCATTTTCATCGATCTTCAGCTGTGTCAGCCTTGTTAAAGTAAGGTGTTTCTGAACAGGAGTTAATTAAATTAACAGGTCACTCAAGCTCTCTAAAACCATATCTGCAGCTGGATTCCAGTCACCACCAGAAGTTGATCGAAAATCTCAGAACAACACGTGAAGCTGCACCTTCGAGTTCCCAAATGCTACAGGTCAATAATACACATCAAACTACTATAATTGTACATTTAATATTGTTAACAAATAAATAAATATTAGATCGTGAAATAGTTCTGTCGAATATCATTCGAGAGAAAATTATTTAACGGCAAAATTTTCTTCTGATTTTATTAAAGTTTGTTGCCTTTTGACAATTTTCGCTCATGAAATTTTGACAAAGTTTAATTCGTGAAAATTGCCACGTTTCACGCCAATTCACGTTTCATACTAGTCTAACATATTGCCTGCAAAATTTTCTCTCACACGTCATATTATACACAAAAATTTTATAAAATAATTTTTATTAAAAATTTAAATGTTTTCTGATTTAATCTTTCAATAGTTTATTTCTTTATGATTTAAATTAATGTGCAAAACCCTGTATTAGCACATATTTATATTAGATCGAAATAATAATACGAAAATAAAATTTTGATCGTATAGATCAGGGATGGCCAACCCGCGGCACGCGTGCCACTCTGTGGCACGATTGAGTCCTATCGCGTGCCACTGATTTCAAACTGTTCAAACTTTCAAAAAAATTAAAACTTGAAAAACAAAAAATAATAAGAAGAAACTTGGTAGGTTTACGGAAGTTACGATAGATGCGGCATCATTGCATCCTCTGGCGAGCGATATTGCTGCGATTGGTGCACATGATCCTAGCTGTCGTAATGTGCAATAGGACTGCGTTACCCTTGTTTAGTTTATTTTAAACTGCCCCGTTGTATGTGCACATTTTGTCATCGCGCATTGTTTCTTTAAAATTTTAAAAGTATTTGTTCGATATGTCCACGAGTAAGCCTTCGACTTCAAAACGAAAATACGAAGATGATATTGCAATTCGCGATTTTCAACCTGCTTGGGAAGAACAATTTTTATTTACTAATTGTAATACTTCAAAGCCTGTTTGTTTGATATGTGGATTGTCTGTAGCAGTTCCGAAAAAATTGAACCTGGAACGACATTATAAACAACTGCATAAGGACTTCAGCAACAAATATCCTATTGGTTCACATTTGCGAGCCGACTTTATTAAAAAAAAAAAAAGAAAACCCTAGCCAGCCAACAGTCACTGTTTCAGAAGAGAAGTGATGAAATGGAAACTATGGTTAAAACATCATATGAACTTTCTCTGCTGTTAGCCCGGAAGAAAAAAGCCTACTCTGATGGAGAGGAGATAATTAAAAATAGTCTGGCAATATTTGCTAAAAATGTGGGAGATGTAAAGATCAAAAATATGGTCGATAATATTGCATTATCCCGAAATACAGTCATGCGCCGTATAGATGATATGGGCCAGGATGTTGTTTCCCAAATTATAAGTGGATTACAATCCTGGAAATTCTTTTCTTTAGCGTTGGATGAACGTTGTGACAATACAGAAAATGCGCAGTTAAGCATTTTTGTCCGTTATACCAATGATAATTTTGAAAATGCCGAAGAGCTTCTGGATTTGCGCCAACTAGTCACAACTACAGGAGAGGACATTTTTCAACAGCTTAAAAACGTAATCGAAGTCAACAAAGTTGAATGGTCAAAATTAGATAGTGTTTGTACAGATGGAGCTCCTTGCATGGTTGGTAGACTAAAGGGATTTGTTACATTACTGGAAAACTATTTGGAAAGAAAAGTTTTTAAGTACCATTGTATTATTCACCAGGAAGCTCTTTGTGCCAAGGACCTAAACATGTCATCTGTTGTTGACCCTGTAACACGCTGCATTAACAAAATACGAGCTCGGGCATTGAATCGACGACAATTTCGAGAACTGTTCGCGGAAGAAACGGAGCAAGATGGAGAGTTACTTCTCCATTGCAGTGTGCGCTCGCTCTCCAAAGGAAATGCACTCGAAAGGTTTTGGAACTTGAAGGAGTGCGTCTTAAAATATTTGCAAGAAAACAATGAACTACCCAGTGAGTGCTCGTTACTTAATGATAAAGATTGGCTTTGGGATTTAGCTTTTCTCACTGATATTATGAGACATTTAAATCTATTAAATTTAAGATTACAGGGAAAACATTGTATTTTACTACTCTAGTTGGTCATATATCTTCTTTTGTGAATAAACTTATGCTTTTTTGTAACGATTTTGGAGAACAGAGATTGACACATTTCACATTAATGCAGGAATTAGCCAACAAGTTCAGTAGAACTCCAAATTATGACAGATTTAAAAACCTTATATCTATTTTGCTAGGTTCATTCAATACCCGGTTTGAAGATTTTCAAAAAGACAAAATGAATATTAACCTTTTCATAAATCCTTTTTCTATTTCTCTGCAAGATATCAATTGTTACTCAGCTGAATTACTGATCGAAATTATTGATTTACAGAACCACACTATACTAAAAACCAAATATAGGGAAATAATTTCAACTGTTACTGATCCCAATTATATTGAATTTTGGAAATTTGTACCAGCAAACAATTTTCCTAATTTACACGAGTTAGCTCTGAGATATTGTTGTAGATTTGGTTCAACGTACGTTTGTGAGCAAATGTTCTCTATTATGAACATGATAAAATCAAAATATCGGCCACGATTAACTGACATGCATTTAAAAAATCTAATTCTGTTGGCTAGTTCCGAAATTAAGTTCAAATACCACATTAAATAAGTAACTGTTTAATAATTTTAATTTTAGATAATAATAAAATATTTAAGTTTTTTGTTTAACGTTTTTATTTTATTTTTATTAACAATAAAGTAAGTTTGTTGTTATGTTTTACTTACTACGTTATTTTTTAAACCTCCACTATCTTGACTAAACAGAAAAATGTGGAATTTACGTAAGAAGTGCATATTGTACCGTATATTATTAATATATAGTATCCATATTAGTATGTCGAAAAATTTTAGTGGCACGCCAAATTTTTTTTGTTCTCATATTGGCACTCGACTTAAAAAGGTTGGCCACCCCTGGTATAGATTATGTCTGTCCGTCCATCTGGCTATCCAGTCTTATATTAAAAAATACTATAACAGATGGAAAAATACTGACGACGGATTCCGATTCCGCTCATAAAAATATATCAAAAAATGTCATAACGGAAATACTTCCGGTTTTGAGAAAATTAATAAAAACTGTGTTACTTGCTGTATAACTATTGAACTAATCTAAACCAAAATGTTTTGACCAGTCTTTAGTTTCCGTATAATTTTGGCTAATCTTAAAATTTTATATCGTGTATAAATATTTAGGTAATAACGTACTACAAAAACTTGCAACGTAACTGCCACCAGGGAAGGTTCGAACAAAATCGGTTTTAGTCTGACTGGAATTTTTAAGGTCGATTCAAACACATCAGTCACGTCTGTTCACAGTCCCGGCGCCGAACCGATCAATCCGTCATACAAAATATTCTTTAGAAATATGCCGCCAGCATTCACATTCATCGGTTGACGAACAGTTTCCCAGCAGTCAGGTTTCGACACGTCTATCGTCCGGCCGATTTTATAATCTCAGCGACGAATTTTTTGGTTTTGCCGGGAACATGACGGGCGCTGCAAGTGAACAAAATAAAATTATTGACGAACAATTAATAGAATGAATGAATGAATGAATAATATTTGGCAAGAAAGCAATTTTTCGACATCCTAAAATATTGATGAAATTCAATCACATCATCACGAAGCAGTTCTTTATACAGTGTTACGTATTCTCCGGTTCGGTATCCCTTTTTTTCCATATGTAATTGATCCATTTCCGTCTATTTGCTTGGTTTGCTTGCGCTTCTTCCTCTTCCCAACATATAGCAATTATTGCTAATTCTTCATCCGAGAAACTTTCCATCTTTTCAACAGATTGGTCGCCGAAGACTGATGCATTTCGGGTGTGTGCGAATAGACGAACGAATAGTTCTGTGACGACGGGACCGGTTCGGCGCCGGGACTGATGTGTTTAAATTGACCTTTACTACTTTTAGCCGGATTGCCTGGTGGGCGAATTCCCATGAGTTTCCGCTGCCAACCATGGAAAACTTGAAAAATGAACAGTTGAGAAACAGTTGAGAGCGCAATTGGTTTCAGAGTAAAGCAGTTGCGCTGTGAGCGTTAGCCTTAAGTCTCTTTATTTTTTTGGTAAGTGATATGCGTATTAGTGAAATACTATTTTTTCTTCAGATAAATAATGTATAATGGGATTGGCTTACCAACCCCCAGAGGCTCTGGAACAAATGGTCATGTGCAACGCAATTGGGCCTTGGTCAGGTCCACAGCTAAAGATAAGACATACAAAACCGAACAGGAACTAGCGGCCTTTGATGCAGCTTCAAATAAACAACCCAACAAAGATATCTTGGATCATGAGAGGAAGAGAAAAATTGAGCTGAAATGTGCAGAGTTTGCTGATCTTTTGGAAGACCAAGGGTAAGCATTTATATAAGTAATTTTCATAAACATAAGACATATGTTGTAGTATGCCATAGTTACTTTGTTGTCATAATTACTATTTGACTGTCATTGACAGTATAAAAATGATGTGATGGTTTCTCTAGAACTTACTCCCAGAAAAATCGTTTACATGGATAAATAAATCGTTTTTCAATAAATTGAACTTTACTAATGTAGTATATTTATATAGTTCTAATTTATTTGTCTTTATTCTAATTTATTGTCTATATTCTAATTTATTAAAACTCACGATAAGTAATTACTAATTTATTAATTAACTTTACAACTATTTATGTTACGTTTCGTTACAATTAAATCGCGTTTCCCGATCTTCTTATGACTAACTCCTTACATAAAATGTCTATGTATTTATATCCAAATACCGTTATCTAGAAGCGGGGAGTCACCTTCCGGAATAGACTCGATCGCCATGTGGTCAGACTGGGTTTTTTATAGCAGCCTCGAAAGTTCGACTCGCCGGAAAATGAAGGTTGACCCATTGATGCGTCAGATAGATTTCGATCGTCAAATCTAGAACATAATATTAAGTAAACAACAGGTTTTATTTTAATATGACTCATTTTGTAACATTGCCCCCCTCTTAAAAGATGGTTCCTCCTGGAACCTTGTCGGGACTGGAACGGTATGCTGGTATCGGCAACTGGACCCTCTTTTACAACTTCCAGTTGTATAAAAATGGCAAGGGACGGTTTTCTCTCCGCACCAGTGACTATGCGGATTGCAACAGACTAACACCTGGACTTCGGTGTCTTTAAGGATCTCCTCCACCATACTTCGAATAACCCTCCAATCTAATTGGCGGCACTCTAACTTTGGCATGGCTAACTTTTGCACGTCGGACTCTAGTACGTGCTCTCTCAACTGAAGTAAGGCTTCCCATACATTTCGGTAGGTAGATTGGTCACGGGCAGTGTCTTTTGTTACCAGGTAGAAAAGGTAACGTGATGCATATTGGAGTTTCAAGATTTTACCGGGAGCTGGCACTTGGCATTGAAGTTCTGCAACTCGACCAAACTTCCGTCGAAAGACGGATGCCAACCCTGGTGCGTCTTTGATACTGGCCGGGATGGTAAGGGCCAGTGAGTAGTCATCGGGAAGCGCGAGTAGATCTTGCCTTTCTTCAGTGGTAACACCATGTCTTGCTTTACCGGTACCTCCATAGGCACCCATGAATTCCTCAAACGTGAGGTCAGACACATCTTGGACTTGGTTTACTTCCACTTCATCTACGTCGTGGTCACCCTCGAAAGACGCCAGCCGATTATGGTGTACTATCATCGGCTTTCCTCTCGGGATCTTGCTTATTCGGTAAATAACATCATTGATCTTCTCCATAATGAGATATGGACCTTCCCAAAACTGTTGCAACTTGGGAGAACAGCCTTTTCGCTTTTTGGGATTATAGAGCCAGACTTTGTCGTTCTTCTTAAAACACCCCTTTTCGGCTTGCGTATCGTACCGTTTCTTCATTCGGTCACTAGCGATCTGGAGATGGGAACGGACCAACTCGTGTACATCGTCCATTCTTCTTCGTAATTCGATCACATAATCTTCACCTGCTACATCTTCTCCAGGTCGACACCCAAACTCTAGATCACAAGGTAGTCGCATCTCGCGTCCGAATAGGACTCTGGCTGGTGTCTGGCCTGTTGACTCATTAACAGCAGATCTGTAGGCCATTGTGAAGAACGGAAGATATTGGTCCCAGTCTCGCTGATGATCGGATACCATCTTTGTCAAATACTTGCCAACAGTCCTATTCATCCGTTCTACCATACCATCCGATTGCGGATGATAAGCCGTAGTTCTTGTTTTCTTCATACCTAGTCGATCACATATCCCTTGGAATAGATCGCTTTCGAAGTTCCTGCTCACTTCACTTAGTGAAGTAATCCATTACTACCAACATGTACTTGCCTCCATTATCATTTTCTGGAAATGGCCCAGCAATGTCCAAAGCTATTCTTTCAAACGGGCTTCCAACATTATATTGTCTCATAGGACAATATGACCTTTTTCGATAAGGCCCGTTACTCGTAGCACAAATAGTACATTTCTTACACCAGTCTTTTACATCGTCGGAACTGTTCATCCAATAAAACCGTTTCCGAATTCGCTGAAGGGTCTTTTTCACACCAAAATGCCCTCCTGATGGACTGTCGTGTAACTGACGAAGTACTTCGGCTATTCTGCTCTTTGGAATCACCAACTGTCTTCTCTTCTCTGAACCGTCATCATTTTCCAGGACTCGTTTGAGCAAGCCATCTTCCATGATAAATGAGTCCCACTGGGCCCAATACGTCTTTACTACATTAAATTAGGGTTACCAGCTGTTTAAAATGTGAGGATCAAAGATTAAGTAAAATAGAGTAAGCGCGCAACGATTGACAAGCGACAATAGTATATTATAACACTATCTATCGAGGCATGCTTTAAAAACTCACACAACTGACACTAGGTATGTCAAACAACTGGCGGGTCAGCTAATATATCTTCTTCTTATTGATGTGCTTATCCGTTACGAATGTTGGCTATAATCATGGCAATCTTTGTCTTATCTGCAGCAGGGCGGAAAAGCTGCACAGATGTTCTATTGAACCAGATTCTAAGGTTCTTTAACCAAGATGTTCTTCTTCCTGGACCTCGTTTTCCAAATATTTTTCCTTGCATGATGGCTTGAAGGAGTGCATATCTGGATTAATTTCATATAATATGTCCGAAGAACTGTAGCTTTCGATATTTGATGGTGGTCAGTACCTCTCGGTTCTTATTCATTGTTCTGAGGACCTCCTCATTTGTGACTCGGTCAGTCCACGCGATCTTAAGCATTCTCCGATATAGCCACATCTCAGATGCTTCCAGTTTTCTGCATATATCTTCGTTCAAATTCTACGATTCAACACCATAAACAAGGTCAGAGAAGACATAGCATCTCAGCATTCTTACTTTTGTAACAAGAGGGAGGTTGTGACTCTTGAAGAGGGCCCCATCCGATTAAAGGTGGATCTAGATTTTCAGATGTGTACTCTAATCTCCTGGTTGTTGGTCTATCTTCATTTATTATGGTGCCGAGGTAGTTGTAGTCAACTACATGGGTCAACTCTACGTCACTCTTTCTACAGGGGATTGGTTGACGTAGAGTTTACCTTCTGTTATCCTTTTCTTGCTAATTATCATAAGCTTTGTCTTCTTAACGTTTATATTGAGTCCACATTGTTGACTGTAATACGTGATTTTGTTCATAAGATGATGCACATGATTTTGTTTGTTCTCCGCTGTTATTTAATATATATTCCGGAAAGATCTTTCAAAATGCCCTCGATAATATTGAAGAAGGAATAAAAATCAACAGAGAATACGTAAACAACTTAAGATACGCAGACGACACCGTAATTATTGCGGACAGTGCTGAGGGTTTACAACGAAATTTGAATGTCATAACCAGAGAGGGAACTAAATATAGACTAAATTGGGACTAAATATAGACACAAATAAAACAAAAATAATGGCTGTTACAAGTGCACCAAATGTCGACATTAATATTCGTATCTATAACAAACATATAGAACCAGTACAACGATTCCAGTATCTTGGTTGCTGGATAACAAACGATCTTGACCACGAGGTCGAAATACGTGCTCGTATAGAATATGCTAGGTCCGCATTTCAACGAATGCGGTCTTCGGTCGGGGTCATCATCTGAAAGTTGGTGCACAATTTTTAATTTGTATGGAGGAAATTTGTTTTCAGCCAACACTCGGTGTACTGTCTTTTGACTAATTCCATAGACAGATGCAACTTGGGCTGTAGAAGAAGTAGGGTTCACTACCATTTCTGATATTATGTCAATTTTTTTGTCATCACTAATTGTTGGTCGACCAGATCGTTTGACATCTTGAACACTACCTGTTTGTTTAAACTTCCAAAGAAGCTTTCTCAAATAAGATCTCGATATAGGGCGATCGGGGTACCTCTCATTAAAAAGACGTTTCGGTGCATGGAAATTATTTCCACATTCACCTATTAGTAATACAGCTGCTACTTTATCGGATACAGTACGTACCATTCTGCATTTGTAAAGAATAATACACTAAACTAACTAACTAACTAAACTAAATATTAACTAAGAACAACTAACTAAAAACAACTTGACTAAACTTGAATTGACTAAACTAAGTAGAAACAGAAACTAAATATTGGGCTATAAACGCTTTTGCAAACTAAAAACAACTAGAGAATAATTGACAAACGTCAACTTTTTTTGACAAATAACCAAAGGCTGACGAATATTTATTAATTAAATGCCGAATTAGAATTTTAGTATTTATTTCATTTATTCGTCAAAAGCATCTTAAATCCAAACAAAATTAGTATGATTGAATAGGTATATTAAAATAATTGTAGTTTCGCATTTAGTCAATAAATATTCTAACGTTCGCCTCTGGTTAATTGTCAAAAAAGTTGACGTTGACGTAAAAACAATTAGAGAATTGAAAAACGTCAACTTTTGACAAGTAACCAAAGGCGGGGGTTTTAATATTTATTAATTAAATGCGAAACTACAATTTTAGTATTTATTTAATTTATTTATCAAAATGAGCTTAAACTCAAATAAAATTATTACGACTGAATATGTATTTTCAATACCTTTCAAAAGAGGTATCACTTGCCATAAGGTCCCATTTAAAATTATCTGTCACAGTGGCGTTGTAACGTCATCTGTCACTATTACGTCACCTGTTATGACTAGATGAGAAGCCTACGTCTGTTTATTACTTCCCTCCAAATTTCACTATTATAACAATAACCGTTCAAAAGATACGAAGGGGGGAACGGATTTTTGACTAGCACTGTATAATAAAACTATAATATTCAAAGAAATTTTACAAGTTGACACTTTTTAGTATCAATAATTTGGCTTCAACCCCTATTCGTAACAGAAAAAGATAAGCAGT